TTGTTACAATTGGGGATATAATGTGTTTCCATTGCAAAAATAAAATAAAATAAAATAATAATAATAATAATAAAAGTTACCTAGAAAAGCTTTTCCCATCAAACCTATGAGAAAAGTTTTTCCTCAAAAACCAAAAAAATGTGGAAAATCAATTTCATGGAAAATTTAGTCAATCAAACATGCAAAAATGTGGAAATGAACTTTAATTTCCATCTTCCATACAAAAGAAAGAGAAATCAAACGGGGCCTAATGGAGTGACCATTATAGTAACATTTTCAGCATGCATGTCATTCTATATTAATGTGTAAAATGCATTTACACCTTTTGGGCTAAGCCAGTCCTTATTGAGCTTTTTGCCTTGATGTCATGCTACCAAAAAGACCTTTGCCATTTAGTTAGTGTGAACTTGACCTTTTTCGTGCGTTAGGATTGATCATTTGATGTTGGTCTAATCGGCCTCGCCTTCAAATCTTCAAGAGTTCACCTACCTAACTTTCTAAGCTAGATCGATCTTCTATTACTCGACTATGTACCTACAAATCTTTCACATGGTTTATGGATTCTACAGAAAGATGTTCAATATCTAATGGAGCTCGACTCATCTACATTCACAATCACAATCACAATCACAACTAGTACTCACTAATTCATTACTCATTTATGTCAATTTATAATTTCAACAACTTATAATTCCTCTCAAATAAGCATTAATGACTTGATTTGTCACTTAATATTTTGAGTCTAAAATTTCAAGAAAATTTGTTGCAAAGTAGGGCCACGCAGAGAGGAAAGTTTGTTGCTTTCTTAGATTGATATTACCTACTCAATTATATAATACAAATAGATAAGAAATTGCTAGAAATAGATACGATGACCCAAAGCCAACTGCTTCTTGGAAAACCATGCCAAGCTGTCGGAAGCATGAAAACATGGGCTAAACACAAAGAAGACAAAAAATTTAAACAGTTTTGAATAATTTGAATTTTTTTACATGTACTCTTCTTTCTCCAAGCCGATTTAATACTTGAAAGTGCACCATTTTTCGGATCTTGAGCGCCTAGTTGTAATGTCTTTAGAGATCTAAAGATACAGGATCTCAGTTTCAAACTATCTGAATTGTTGGCAAGATAGACATGAAGTATGATAAACGAGATCCATGTAGAGAATTGACAAGTAAAAGAAATAAGTGAATAGAAAAATGTCATTGTATAAATTTTCTAGACACAAATCAACCTATCAAATCACATAAGGAAAATGATAATATGTACCCAGGGTTTACACCCAGGGTCGTTAGTAGGGTGAGCTAAGCCAACGAGCAGCTCGCCTCACTTAACATCCATATTTTCAGGAGTGATTATTACCTATTTATTGCTAGTAAATTCTCAGAAAATCTGTAAAAAATAATTTATTGAGAAAAATAAAGTTCAAGAGCATTTCTGTAATTTCCGAGTCGAAAAAATATGTCTAATAGTCACGAGAATCTCGAATGATTTTTTAATTAGTATTTCAAAAAAATAAAGTTCAAGGAAAAAGTCTATAGGGAATTCTTGACAAAAATTTTACCAACGTTGACAGGACATCGGATGATTGAATTGTTTCTTTTTTTCTCCTTCCACCTTTCAATCAATTTTCGCTATACGTTCTCTGTCAAAACGTTTTGTACTTGTAGCATGATTAAAACGGTAAAGTAACATTTCAACTAAAACCCAACAAAATTTTGTTTGGCTGGATTTTCTAATCATTGTCCTAGTTTTATAATGCCCTTTTCATACGGCTATTTAAAAATTATTTCCTGCAAATATTTTAGGTTTTTACTCATTATTTTCTATTTTTGATTGCTGGCTCCAAGCACAAACTGTATTGGCTGTTCATGCATTAACTTTTGGAATATATTGCATCATTAGTCCCCAATTTATTATCCAAATAGCAAGTTAATTTTAATCTTTATAAAACAATAAGTTTGTGTAAAATATTTCATTATAGCTGTAATCAATTCTTAATGAGTGAGAACCATTCAAATCTTCTATTAAATCACGACATTACCCTCATTAAAGCTTCCCTTACTTCAATATTTTGAAGCATCAACCCTAGTTAAAAAATAAAATTTAATTTCATAAAATTGGATAAATAAGGTATCGCGTCAAATAAATGGAGAGACATTTTTGGTCTTGAAACATATTTTTC